TCACGAGTTCATTCCTCAAATATTATGTGACGATGGAACCATGAGCGAAGAGGACCCATTACGAATATTTTTCGACGCCTCAACACAGGGTCTACGAACCTTTGGTGGCGAGCCTCTGAGAGCGCTCAACTTGGAAGAGACACTTGTTGGCGCCGGCTTCACAAATATCCATGTTATCACAAAGAAAGTGCCCATTGCTGCTTGGCCACGAGATAAACACCTGAAGACAGTTGGCATGTTTACGAGGGCGGTAATACTGGATTCGCTGGGCGCTCTCGCGGCTAAGCCACTGGCAGCTCTTGGAATACCTTCAGAAGACCGCCGAGCTCTAGTCACGCAAGTTAAACGAAGCCTCAATGACCGCAGGATACACCGTTATATGAAGTTCGTCATTTGTTATGGGCAGAAGAAAGAGAATTCTGAGTCGGCATCGCCTCCTCTTCAATAAGGCCCGAGACAGAAAGCGTCTAATTATTCACCTTACCATACGAAATGAAAGGTGGGATAGTCAGGCTCCTCCTTTGAGAGGAGGCGACGCAAGAGAGGTTTACGCTGTATAAACCTTATTACTATTATTAATACTATTATTATTCCTGGGGCATCGTTGGAATGGCCTTTTTTATTTATTTTATCTTGTTTGGTACCAAGTATCTTAGGCCGCCTTATTTGGTTTGATAGCTCCTCAGCTCTCTATGGAACTGGCCAAGTTGGCGTTAATATTTGACAAAGGTGCAATGGGCACCCAGTGACCGGCAACCGACACGAGGAAATAAATACATAAACCCCTATTAAATACACACAAAAATTTAATCTGTGAGCGTGAAAGGCTGGCTGTTTTTTCTCAGTTGGACAACCACGCTCCTGTAGTGTCATTGGACGCTGCGTTGATAGTGGTGCTCTAGAGTTGTGGAGGATGACAAAGCGAGTGAGGTCCGTCTCGGCGCCACTCCACCAACTTCTAAAGCTTTGAAGCTTTACATTGCGCATCCCATCCTTCAAACTTGAACATCAAACCAATCCGCCGAGCAAATCGCGCTCGTGCAAGTCACACAAACCCCAGTACGTTATTGCACCCCGCAAAAACTGCCTTCGGAGCTTCCAGCGCTTCCGACACGCCACCATGGCGACCGCAACCGCACCTGCAACCGCAGCCTCCTCCATCCTGAACCACGCCTCCCAAACCTACAACTTCCGCTTCTCGCCCTTCCTCCGCGCCACATACCAGGTCGGCCTACCGCTCGATCGACCCATATGCAAAGCATACCAATCCGGCAGCTGTCCAAACGGCACGCGATGCACAGAGCGGCACGTCCAGGACGCCAAGACGGCGCAGGCAACGGGTGGCCTCAATTCGCTCGTGTGCAAGCACTGGCTACGCGGGCTCTGCAAAAAGGGTGAGCACTGCGAGTTCCTGCACGAATACAACCTTCGCAAGATGCCCGAGTGCAACTTCTTCATGAGGAACGGGTACTGCTCCAACGGCGAGGAGTGCCTCTACCTGCACGTCGACCCGTCGTCGAGGCTGCCACCTTGTCCGCACTACGACATGGGCTTCTGTCCTCTGGGCCCGCTGTGCTCCAAGAAACACGTTCGGAGGAAGCTGTGTGTGTTCTACTTGGCCGGGTTTTGCCCGGACGGCCCGGAGTGCAAAGCCGCGCATCCCAAGTGGAGCAAGGATCTGGACAAACCGACTGTGAAGGCGGATGGGAAGGAGGAGGAGGAGGATGGCCATGTGGACAGTGGGATGAGGGGCGACGACGATGGCAGCGAGAGGGTGACGAGAGACGGGATGGGACGTGGCGATAGGGATAGGGACCGGGATAGGGACCGGGATAGGGATCGGGATAGGGATCGGGATCGTGATAGAGACGATGGTAGGCATGGGGGCAGGTTTAGAGGCGGTGGGAAATGGAGAGGTGGAAGGGGCGGCCGGTTTAGAGGAAGAGGGCATTGATTTCCTCGATGGGCGCAAAATATAGTAGATCCTACTAAAACTACCTAGGGAGATGATATGTATGTGGATTTTGGTAAAATAGCGTTTTCTTTACACCTTGATACCCAGGTTCAAAAGAAGAGCAATAGAATAATTTTTCTGACAACGGTTCAATGTGTGTGATTGCAAATCCAATTGGAATAAATGTAGATGTATTTTGTATTTCCTTTTACGGCTTAAATTGGAGTGGTCATTAAATACAAGTTATTGGACGTCATATCAGTCTCCAAGTCTATTTCTACGTCACGATCGGGGTGAATTGGACACTGGAGGCACCCAGAGACTGCTTTCAGTCGCGTCAGCACTCCATACATTACGCTCGGATGGAACAGCAATGAAATCGTTGGAGGAAGCCGTCGCCGCCTCACCGTCCTCGCTTTCTTCGCGCTCTGAGCCGTCGCAGGAACTGGTCTTCCAGGCCGACAGCTCGTCTACTCTCCGAATGCCCATCATCCAGGAGACGAGACTGCGGGGGGCCCATCGTCCAACGAAACCATATACGCTGGAGCCGAGGCCGATGCGAACTGTGTCTCCCGTGATGGAACCGTCCATGACATCAAAGACGGCGTTGTGCAGTCGACGCAGGGAGCTGCCTTTCAAGCCGCGGATTCGTCCACCAGAGATGGCGGAGCTAGTTTGAGCGACGAAATTGCGCCCGTAGACGTGTCGTGCACCATCTGGCCAAACCAGAGGTTCTTGGGGGTTCCCGGCAGAGACCAGTCCTTGGTGAGAGATGGCTGCCCGCGAGGGCACAAAGCTTGAAAAGTCAAAAGTGCCAAGTTGCATGTGTGTCACTGGGATATTGAGAGGTCGAAGCTCGGCTGTCAAAACTTCGGTAAAAGCTGAAAGGGCAGAGCACACAGTCGCTTCGGGGGCGTGGAATGGTGGGTTGATTGAGGAGATAATCGAGGGCGTGAAAACGAGGACCTTGGGAGGAATCCATTTCTCGCCTATTGGTTGCAGACGCGATGCCAACAGTGGAAGGAATGCCTGGATTGTGAGAATTGGTTGAAGCAGATGTGTGTTGAATAGATCGGCGAAACTCGACGGTGGGATGGTGGCGATGGGTGATGTTTGGTAGTTCAGGCTGGGAATAAGAATTACGGATTTGAGAGTCAAGCTATTTGGTTTGATGTGAGGACCGGGAGCCTGAGGAGATTGCAAAAAGGCCGCGAAGCGTTCGATGGCAGCGCCTGCTTGAGGGGGCTAACGAAACCAGTCAGCATCAAACGTCATGACGGCAGGCATGGGAGACAATGGCACTAACATCAGTTGTATCGAGGCCAAGGGGTCGAATGTCTGGCCTGGACAAGGCGTGTACCATACTTTCGTCCTCGGCGGCATTGCATACAATGTAGACAATGAAGCCACGTCTTTCCATATCCAGAGACAAAGACTTGGTCAGGGGCAGCGTTGGGGACCCTGCAATAACAACCACCTCTGTACGTCCGCCATTTCTCGCTCGTTTCGCTCTTCTAGTCTTTCTCATAAACCTGCTTGTCTGGTATCCTTTGAATATCATGGTGCCACAAGTGAAGACGATAACAGCTGCCAGAATCTTGTGCCGTGACACCCAGCCTTGGACCTTTTCGAACCGCGTCATGGACACGACGGCGACAGCCGGTTTCAGCGGAGGGCTTGGCTTGGCGTATTCAGGGAGCCATTTTGCTTGTGAAAGCGTCTCGCGGACAATTCTGGCGGCTTGATCGACGTTTTGATCTATGTATTCAGCAACATCATTGGAGTATTGCTTTAGCTGTGGCGGGATGTGCGCGAGCTGTTGGCAGCCGGGGACAGCTTCAGTTAGCACCAAAGGACACGGGAAAGAAAGAATTTAATTTAATGATGGTATGATTGGGCAAGCTTACCACGACATCTAAAAACTGCTGGTCGTCGGCAGACATGATGGAGTATGCGTGTTTTGATATGAGGACGACAAGGCGTCGTTGGGTTCACATGACGAAATCTTTGGACTTTCTCTGCTTGTTGATGTGGAGACGAAGCTGTTGAGGTCCGCCAGTGCCGTTAGCAGGGATTGCGGGGGGAACGTGGCCGCAGCTCCGTGATTGGCTGGGCGAGGGAAGCTCTTTGAGAGTCGGAGCGAGGGCCGCATGTGTAATAAGGAAAGAAGAGTCAATAATATAGTCTCTATCAAGATATTCGAACGGGGCAGTGGAAATAACTGAAAAGAATTCCAATGATGCTGCTGAACCCGGTGATGGCATGACGTAGACGGACGACTCGGTGCTTTGCCTCATGACAAGGTTCCCAAGTGGGTTTTTTCATGGCATGCCTTCAATAAATAGCACTTGCTACATGTATGATTCTGGTGGATGTGAACAAACTGAAGCGGAACGCAACAAGCGAGACAGTTGACAACAATCTGCGAGCGGCGTCCGCTTGTACCGCGCTTTTACATAATGGCCAAATTTCCGACTGGGGATTTAGGCCCATCGGAGCCGCCATCGGAGGAGCCATGGAGCATTCGGCGTCGGGGGGCAGCCGGCCGACTTGCAACACCCAAACCAGCCAACTCAGTCTAGTACACCCCATTGTACCTGTGCGCCGGCCACTGCCCATCACCCCAGGTTTGCCGCTGGAGAAGACCCCAGCCCCCCCACATCGCTGCCCGCGGGGGCTCAAGGCACGACGACTTGGTGGCACATTTTGACCACTCACCTCGTCGCGAACTGGCCGGTTATCAACGGGTTCCACTGCCGCCGCCCCTGTGATAGCTAATAACTGCTCCCCGGACCGTCGTACCTGCCTCCAACCTCACCCTTCTGTGTCTTTGTCCGTGTTACAACTCTTTCCCTTCCGGGCCCAACGGCGCCTCCATTCTCCGTGCTGGTTAATCCATGCCGGAGACCCTCGTGACTTGCCCGTTCACTACCAGTTACATCCAACCATTACCTTTTGACCATCGACTTCCCTCTTTCAATATCACACCCAACAGCATCAAACAGCATCCAATAGCCTGTTGAGTCTCGCGACTTCTTCTCAAAACATGCTTCTAGATTACTTGCAGCACCGCCGTGACTGGTAAGTACTCGTTATGCGTGTTGACTTGCGTCTTGTCCCCCCCCATCCACACATTTAACCTCATCACTGTCAACAACTACCTTGGTAGGTAGTTGGTCAACGCTGGTCGTTACTTCCCCGCCTCCCCTGTCACCGACTCACGAGTCACCACACCCCATCTCTCCCCAAACTGGTATTGATCCCACATTGACGCCTTCATCTCTCTCATAGCCGGTTCAAGCAGGATGAGCGTGTGCGTCGTATTCGCGCTCTGACTGCTTACCATGCTCCCTTCAGTCCATTGGACCGGGAGATCATCAACAAGCCCATTGAGGAGCTTGTCCAAGAAGTACACAAGGACCCAAGCAAAGCTGCCGACCTCCTACATACCTATGGAAAGGTTGCATTAAAAGCCCATGCGAAGACCAATTGTGTCACTGAAGTTCTCATTGAAGATGCTGAGAAGTGGATCAAGGACGGATCCATCAACTTCAAAGGCCCTCTTGCTGGTATCCCTGTCAGCCTGAAGGATACCATTGATGTAAAGGACTATGATAGCTCCGTCGGTGTGACGTGTAATGTTCACAAACCCAAGACTGAAGATGGTGTTACTGTCAAGTTGTTGAAGGAGCTTGGAGCTGTCCCATACATCAAGACCAACATCCCCATCACCCTCCTTAGCTTCGAGTCTTCCAACGACCTATGGGGTCGTTCTACCAATCCTTACAACAGCAAGTACACTCCAGGTGGTTCCACGGGTGGTGAGGGCGCCCTCCTCGCCATGGGAGGCCGGATCGGTATTGGAAGCGATGTTGCTGGAAGTGTCCGATGCCCCGCGCATTTCTCTGGCATCTACTCCCTCAAGTGCTCGACTGGTCGATGGCCCAAGCTCGGTATGACCACCAGCATGCCCGGACAGGACGGTATTCCTGCTGTATACAGTCCAATGGCCCGAACACTAAATGATCTCTTCTACTTTACTCGCGCTGTCCTTGAGAAGGGCACCTACAACTATGATTACTCTTGCCATCCTATCCCTTGGAGAGCAGATGTCGTCAAAGAATATAAAGAGAAGAAGACCATGCGAATTGGTGTTTTGCGAACAGACGGTGTTGTTGACCCTAGCCCGGCTTGCAAACGGGCTTTGGAGATGACTGAGGCCGCCCTGCGTCGGGCTGGCCACGAGATCATCGAGATCAACCCGCCCGAGCCATATGAAGCCCTATACCTGGCCTCTCGTCTCTTATGTGCCGATGGTCTTGATACCGTTCGCGGATTCTTCAGGACTGGCGAGTGGAATGATCGAGGCGTAGCTCAAATGCGATTCTACGCAAAGCTTCCCAGCCCCATCAAGTACTTGTACTACCTCTGGGTTCGATACATTCGCCGTGATACACTGTGGGCTGGTTTGCTTCGCGACTGGCACCGCACTACCACTACGGAATACTGGGCACTCATTGGGCGCAGAGAAGCTTACAAGAGAAAGTGGTGGGAGTACTGGCAGGCCACCAACCTAGACTTTATCATTGCACCACCCAATGCCACTCCGGCCGTTCCTCATGACGGCATGCATGATGCTGTCAGTAGTTGCGGTTATACTTTTATGTTCAATTTGGTAAGTAAAATATTGCCACGGACAATGGACATGCCCACTAATACGGCTTGAACAGCTCGATTACAGTGCTGGCGTTATCCCCGTCACACATGTAGACAAGACCAAGGATCAACTGCCTGCTGGCTTCAACATTCGGAAGCTGAATGGCATTGCCCGTGGTGCTTACAAGTTGTATGACGCTAACGAAATGCATGGGCTCCCTGTTGGCGTTCAAGTCATTGGACGAAGATTAGAAGAAGAGAAGGTTCTCGCTCTGATGGAGCGTGTGGAGGATGCTCTAGGTGATGACAAGTTCAAGTTGTTGGATGTTGATTGATTGCCTAATTCGACAGGAGTAGCTCTCTGGGTTTGTCGATGTGCATGAATAGGGTTAGATATTCTTAGATTTGGCAATCTAGAGGTGTTTACATTTACAAGCGTCGTCATTGTCCCACGGCGCAAAGCATGGTAACAAATGTATATCCCGCGCGCATAGCAACGAGCCATGGAACGCTTTTGGGGACATAATTGCAATGCTCATGGAGGCAAACTGAATAACATTCTCATAGGGATAGGACAATAAAAACGGTACAGAAGTCCGTTTTTTCAACCGCTTTTGTTGTATTATAAGCAACTTTGTGCCAGTAGAAGAATTCCGTATAGAAGCTCGCAGCATATATGTCGCAGCATATAACCAGGTAATGAAGGAAATGTACTCTGCACATCTACGTATGAGTTATGCTTCCTGTGGGCAACATACTCCAGTTGCACTTTTCACACGTGAGGCCCGTTTGTCCAGCCGAAACATGGAATCACCGTTTGCTGCACATGCGTAGATGCATACGATTCTCATACAAATCATACCTTGAAGTAGAGAAGGGAAAATATAGGTGTGTAACGGGGTAATTTTTAAACACAAATGACGTATAGTTGAACATGCCCAGTCTACAGCCAAAGCCATTTGAGAAGAATCAAAGCAAAGGAAAACCATACATTCAAAGTCACAAAACCACAGGGCCAATAATAGCCAACTGATTCGCTGCCGTCCGCCCCAAACAAATTCACAACCCCAACATTGAAGGCTGCTAGTTGAAGCCCGCGTGTAAGTCGCGATTAGTCATTCGCGCCGAAAGTTCCAGAGCTACGCACCACCCACTCACAAGTTCACAACCCACCAACCACACATTCACACCACACAGCCCAATTCACCAGTCGCCCCCAGCAAGGCATCGTGCCTTACGCGTCCCGAGCATCAATATCTAGCTCGCCCGAGTCCGCCTGCCTCCAAAATGCGCGACCTTTTCCTCCTGCACCGCCGCTCCAGACGTGCACAAAACATTAGTGCGGCGGCTACAGACGGTCCTTCACAAAGATGCCAGAACACGAGAGCCTGGTAGGCTCCTATGTCCACCTGGCAATGGAGCAGCGAGCAAGTGACGCTCTGCATACTCTGAAAAAGGTCGCTTCGCAAGTGAAGCCAATCATGAGGGCTCGCGGATGGAAGGTCGGCCAGTTGGCAGAGTTTTATCCCAACCAAACCAATTTGCTAGGTATACTACATTACAGCCCTATTCATAGCAGGCATGGAACTGACTGAAGATTGTATGTACAGGTTTAAATGTAAATAGAGGATCCAAGATATGCCTTCGATTACGGTACCCGGGAGACAAGAACCAGTTTCTCCCGTTTGAGAATGTGCTAGACACGATGCTGCACGAGCTGGCGCATATTGTCCACGGACCGCACGACCATAAGTTCCACGCACTCTGGGACAAGCTGCGCGACGAGTGCCAGGGCTTGATGATGAAAGGATACACGGGCGAGGGATTCCTGGGCAAGGGACGCCGGCTGGGGGGAGCGAGCATGCCAGACCGGGAAGCACGTCGTCTCGCCCGCGAGGCAGCCGAGAAGCGACGCATCCGCGCATCACAGGGCCTTGGATCCGGCCAAAGACTGGGCGGAACCGCGCCCCGACCCGGCCAGGACGTTCGGCAAATCATCGCGAGCGCTGCTGAAAGGCGAAACGCTGTTCTGAAGGGCTGTGGCAGCGGGCGGTACAACGATAGAGAGATTATCGAGATCGCAGACACGGCCACCAGGAACGGCTTCAAAACACAGGCCGAGGAGGACGAGGCGAATGAAGTCGCCATCGCCCAGGCCCTCTGGGAACTTGTCCAGGAAGAGGAGAAAGCGAAACATGGTCAATCGTACGTACGCCCGTCGCCCGACCATCCTGAGGGGACAGGCGCAGGCGGGCCGCTCACTCGGGAGGCGGTTGGCACACAGGGCCAGGCTTTGCGCCCTGTCACTGCCGCTGGAGCTTCAACCATCCGAGACCCGAAGGACCGGGGTCAAGGGACAGCGGGTTCCGGAAACGGTCAGGGCCCGGATTTTTGGGTCTGCGAAATTTGCACGTTGCACAACCCGCTACAATATCTCTCCTGTGAGGCCTGCGGGTCGGAACGGACCCAAGGCAAGAGGACGAGGTCGCCAGAGCCCGTAAATGGGCCTGCAAAAAAGAAGACGGTTGCCACGCCGGCTGCAAGCACGATAGACTTGACCAGAGATAGTCCGCCGATAATGAAGGCGCACCATGAAGATGGACCTAAAAAAGAGCAGACACACGACTCGGCGGCTTCACCTTCCTTGGCCGCAGAAGCACCTTGGGTGTGGATATGCAGCTTTTGTGGGACGGCTATGGAACGACAATGGTGGACGTGCTCCCTATGTGGCAAGATGAAGGAAAGCTCCAAGTAGGGTGTTTGATGATGGATATATGTATGATCAATCCTGTGTATACAGTGAAACAGTTCAGCGTGCAGCTAGACAAGTAGATAAATGCCTGCAATACTATGAGGGTAGAGCGACTTTGGCGAGACGATTATAACAGCTTGAAAATCCTATTCATCACGTCGAGTACGACTATGGCCCCCTTCTCTAGTCGTTGCGCATGTTGTGTTTTGATGCAATGTGGCAGAGAGGAGTAGGTTTTGCAAGCCTCGTTTATGTTCAGCATACATACATGGGGTTCTTCGCACGAGCTGGAGTCGAAGCTTCAACGTTGCTTCATCAGAAACAAAAAGACTTTTTTGTTGAGGCAAGATTAGGAAAAGTGCCGATTGGAACTGGAGAAGATCGGCTTGGTAGGGGACCCTGGACGCCCACGACCTGTCGTGTCACCCACAGGCAAGGGTAATTAAAGTCTTTGGGGCTCATCGGGCTGACCAGATGACTGGTCACACCTGTGTTGTAGGCCCTGAAAGAGCGGAGCGCTTCAAATTAAAGACTCCAGATGTCGAGTACGTACTACGTACTCCGTACCACTACTCCGTACCTAAGTAGGTATGTATGTCCTTAGTAAGTATGTAGTACTATATCCAAGCGTTAGCTCCGTGTGCAGTTGGGCGACAATATGCTGTAGAGTCTGGTGTAAACACTCGACTCATCTAATACTGCATCTGCGAGTGTCCGCCAGGCATGCAACGCATGCCCTGGATATACATGCAGTGTACATAGTAGTAGTTATGCCCGGCTCGTGTCGGAGCCCTTGCCTAGTCTCCTGCGATGAATCGTTTGGCAGCAAGCGGTATGTATGGTACGGTGCATCGTCTTCATCTGTGCGTGGCATCTGCCATCAACTTTGCCCGAATGTGCCCAGCGGCGCAGCCAGACCCAACCACGCAACGGGCAATGCAACAAGAAAAACTTTCATCGACCTGCAGACAGGGCATTCGTTCCCCTTTCTGCTGCAACTCGTCTGACACTGAGGTCAGGTCAAGCCGCGTGCTGCGGCGCTGCAGGTTGCAGGGTGTCGCTCTGGGTGCCTATTGATCAACGCTCAGAGCCGTGTTCTAGACACTGATGGATCACAGAGGCGTAAGGGTCCGGACCTGGTAGGAGATGTGATGACCAGCCCCTGTCCCTGCAGGCCATGGCTGATAAAGAGGGCCACAGGCTTGGCAATCGTTTCAAACGCAAATCCCGACGTCTGCAGATCGAGGGTTGTGTGGGCGAAAGTGGAGGAGGACCAGAGGCGAGAGACTCATCGTCTACGGAGTAGTTTTTTGACAGCATTACGGAGTACGGAGTACCGGTTAAGGCGTTCAACTGTTGGCCAGCCTAAGTATCAATCCGGACCAATTAGCACCAGATAAAGTATCAGCCTGGCCGATTAACTTCGGGGCGTCCTCCGTCCACCAATTGCATCCAATTGACTTGCTGTAGACTAGCTTGTGACTTTAGAGAAGTTGATATGTGAGTCTTGCTGCCAGGCACAATCCAAAGTAGGGCAAGACCAATAACAACAAACACCACGACGCCCCCAGCGAAAAAAAAAAAAGGCGCGAGATCCCTCTCTGGACCATGGTTTGTTTGACATCTCATTCTTCCATGCTTGAGACACTGCATGCACGTCGTCAGACTACTACTCGCCAGCTTGTCCCCTTCGCGGGTTTGTGCCTGGCCCGGTACGGATAGTTGGTTGCAGTCATTCCACAATGTTGCATAAGAGCAGAGAAAAAATTGCTACTGTTAGTTGAATCGTGTGCCACCAGCACCGAATTGTACAACTACCTACCTAGGTACCTAGTAGTTCACATCAATGACATGTGCATCCAACTGCAGCAACTAGATGAAAGCGGCCATAATGTCGTCAAGGAGTCGTACAAATCGGTCCGGACCTTTAGGCTGATCTTGGCTAGATACTTACTTTGGTTGGTGAAATTCTCCAGTTCACTTCAACTTTTTTTTTTTGTTGCTTTGCGTGGGTTGGCAGTATCAGATCGAAAGAAGAGCCACATGTACAGTTAATCGGTGGATTTTGCTCCCGTTGCTTGTTTCTGATCTACTGAATAGGTGCAAGAAGAGCCGACGGCCTGATGTCCACATCTGCTAGAGATGCTGTCCCGTGGCCCGTTTGCTCCGTGCCTTGGGGAGAAGTCTAGATCTGCCCTGCCGCCGAGACCCGCCATGTACAGCGCCGGAATGCCAAAATAGGAGTATCCATCTCTTCCGGACCCAGAAGGTCCATGCTCGAGGGAATAGTATTTCGAGAGATGGGAACTGTTGCGAAGATCCATCGCCGGGCCACGGGAGGGCAAGACGGAGGGGCACTGAGTCTTGTTTATAACTTTAAACGACATTGTCCGCATCACCCGCATTGCAATGTAAGCAAAACATGATTCAAGTCTGAGACCAAACAGGAGCCAGAAAGTCTTGTTTTCACCTTGGCATGTCTATCCTACGTCCGAAGTACTATTATACTGTATTGGGCTGGAAGTGGTTATGCCCTGTCGTAGTTGCGGGTTTCGAGAGATGGGCCACGCTACTGTGATGAAG